ATTCAAAAGAAGCACGGCCATGTGGTCACTGGGGCGTTACACAACCAATTATTCACACAACTGTCGCTTGGGTAAAAGAATAACCGTTTATACTAAAAAATACTCTCAAAAAAAGAGCTTAAAATCCACAATTTGACAATCTATTTCTGAAATTAGAAATGGACAAATGGTAGAGAGTGACAGAGATTATAATACCAATGAAGTGACCACACAAACATAGAGAAAGTGAACGGAGGGTCTACTTACACATTTTCCCTGACCACCGCTATGCCATGGTGCATGATTTGGTGTTGCGCCACGGAATAGCCGAAGTGACTGCCCTCCGGCCCTTTCTTGACCACAGGATCGTCCGTGTCCAGGTTAAAACAGAGACTCCGGGGGAACTGGACGCAGAGAGCGGAGAGGAGAAGGAGAGGTACCCGTCCTCGGTGCGCCATGGTGCCGACTGCTTTCAAAAAGGGTACCGTACCGGGGGGACCACTCTTTTCTCCAACTGTAGGGGTCCCGGGACTGGCAATCCGTCAAACCATTCATACAAGTGACGTGGTCTCTATTCCCTTTATAGTAGGCGCTGAGACCATTGACCAGATTTTTCAAAGAATTCCATGAATAAAGAACAATTTTTACGCTTTGTTTTACCACTGTACTTTTATATCTTGCATTATTTTCCAATTATGAAATGGTCATAAATAGCCAATTTTTGTATATATATATATATATATATGATGTCGCCCAGTGATTACAGTATAGTGGAAAGGGGAACTTCTCTATATGTTTAAAACCTTCTTCTCATCAATAAGTTGATTCAAACTTAGACTTGTGACACATTCATTCCGATAGGTGATAACATTATAATCTCGAGTCATTTCTACAATAACGACATATAATGTTTTTAAATTTATTCTGGACAGTCACATTCGGTTAGAAATCGCTAAAAGTGGTCCTACTATAGCCTCCATAGCATGCCAAAAACTGGGGATTTTGGGGGTCTTCAGGAGCTTTTATGTGCTATTTTCTGATTGCATATAGACAACATAGCCGGCCTGGTTGAACCACCCCCGTTTAGAACTGGGCTAATCAGAAAACAGCCGAAGACCACCAAACCCCCAGTTCTATAAAAAAACGGAGGCTAGCCCTACTAGCTAAAGCCATGTTGATTTGATTATATGGATGACATCCGCGCGCGCATGAATTTTCGGCCGTTTCCAAAAAAAAAAAAAGTTTTACAACCATACTGTAAATCGTACAAAACAGTTTGAAAATGAGCAAATATATACCGTAAGTTGCAAAAGGAATATTCAAAAATGATACCAATGTCGCAAAATGCCAAAATAAAAAAAAGACTAAAATGTAAAGAGAAATGAATTTAAAGAGTAGATTATTCACCAAACCATACACTGTGTCATTTTTTCAACCATGACCACGCAGATTTCGTAATGAAAGCAACTTTTTTTTTTGCAAAACTTTTTTTTTATTCGCACGCGCGCATCAGTTTTGGGGTTCCCAGAGGATGTCATCCATATAATTAAATCAACATGGCCTAAGTTGAATCCACCCTACTCCATTGCAAATGCAATTGA